TTCCATTCCAAGAGTCTTCATATAGCTGCTTTCTCTTTGGAATTATCTTTCCTTGTACCCATTTGATGGGGTTGTGGGGTGGAAATAAGGTCCCGACTGGACTGGACACCTCTGTACTTACTTATGTGATTATCCCTTACTCTACCGATATAAGCCTGAAAAGGCCTCATTTTAATGAATTTCTGCACACCAAATTTTACTTTTAAAGGGCATGAATGAATCAGTATTAAAAGATTCTAGTGATAAAGTGGAGGGTTGTTGTCTTAATTCATCTGGTTCACATATATGGGTTTTCATATAAAATATCCACTTATAGAGAGGCCCACCTGCATTCATTCTTACTCTGTTTAGTCAAGATCAGAAATTATGGCACCTCTAACCCTGAACACATCTGTCCTGACTGGCACTGTGCCCATTGTTTTATTTGCTTCTAGCACCATACTCAAGACTGTGGCATATTTGTCTGTTGTGTCACCAAGACCAAACTTCTTCAGCTGATGTAGGGTGGAAGTGGATCACCTTTGAGGTCCCTGCAAACTTTATACTGCATGATTCTTTGAACAATGGGCACTTTTTAGGGCTAACTGTGGATTTTCAACAGAGTTTTAAATTAACCTCTCCCCAAAGGAAGCGTAAGACATGTGCCTGAGTCCAAGAAACTTAAAATTTTGTTAGAAAAACAAAAATGGCAAACAATTCTGGAATTAGAAATAGTGTGAACAGAAAGAGCCAGATGCTGAGCTGAAAGAACCCAGAAGAGCTTAGAGCAAGTGTGGGCACAGGCCATTAGGCTTCCTGGAGGAGCTGGTATTTGAGTGGGGTTGAATTCTAGACAAGCAGAGGTGAGAGTGATAGTCATACCAACAGAAGAGGAAGAGAATAGGAAAAAAGACAGTGTGAAGATTTTAGAAGCTGTTGTTACTGCACTGAGTGTAGAAGTCATAGATGGCATAGTTTATTCTTTCAACAAATATATACTGAGAACCTACAATGATCAGACACAAAGGACAAACAAGGTTCCTGTTTATATGTAACTTACATGCTAATGAGGGAAGCAGAGGAAGGAGGTGGGCAGTAAACAAACACATATTTTGAAAGTTAATTTTCTGGTAGAATAAGTACTATGAACACAGTAAAATGGTATAATATAATTAGAGAATATATCGGAGGAGGGATTACTTGTAATAGGATGGGCCTCTATCGTAAAGAACAGGGCCTCTCTGAAAACATCACGTTTGGGCTGAGACCTGAGTGAAAAGAAAGAGACGGCTATATAAGACCCATGAGGCTCCCTGGGTAGAGGTAACAGCAGATGCAAAAGCCTCAAGGCAGGAAAGAGCTTGGCTTAGAAGAACATCAAGGACAGTGCGGTTAGGACCAAGTGAGCACAAGGTCAGGTGGTAGGAGGTAGGCAGGGGCCAGACATGAAGGGCCACCTGAGTCATGAGGAGGAGAACCGTGGGATGTGGAAAGTGCACTTATGGTAGAGAGGCACAGAAATTTCTCTGCACTTTCTCTTCCAGAGGCCAGAAAACTTCTTAACACCTAACAGCAGCAAGGTTCTGCCCATCTTGGACCCCAAGATCTTAGATGAGAAGCTGGGTTCCATCCGTGAGTCCTGGTCTAAGACTACAGTGAGCTCCACAATGAACTCCAGCACATCCACCTATCAGGAAGCAGAGGAAGAGCCTCAGATGCCCCAGACGTACCATGAAATGGTGAGTGTCTTTCCCCCAGAGTTGGAAGGGCTGGAGAAGTGATAGGGGAGATGCTGAAGAGGCTTGACTGTCCCTGTGGGCTCACTGATCAGGTGGCAGGTAGACCTCCCCTTAGGCACACTCTATATGCATTGTCTCAAAGCTAAACTTGTGGAAGGTGTGGATTCTTCATTTTACAGAGCTTACCTTTTGAATGGAACTTTCACATTATTTCTTTCAAAACAAAACCTGCAACACTTGTGTGACCTAGTTCCATTTACTCAAATAGTCATCAACTCAGAACTTCCTCAGGAATATGTCCACTGGGTATTGGGAAGTCTCCCTGAGAGATTAGTTGTAGCTTCTAAAAGAAGAAATTGAGCCTCAAAGAAAAAAGGACATCATCTTTGGTCAAAGAGTCTGATTGTGGGAGCTGGCATGGCTTCCTGTTGTCAGCTGGCCAGATGCTAGGAAAGGGTTGGTAAAGGTGGCCACAGTGGAATCTTAATTTGGTGAGGGATTGGTGCTGAGTACTAGCCCCTTGATGCAGAGAGTTAAGTTGCAGGCTACCAAAAAGACACTCCAGTTAAAGTCCCTCATTGAGGTACCATCACAATAACCATGGGTAAATTCAAGAGTGGCTTCCTCCCTTCTTCCACAGCAGATCCCATGGGGAATGCTCTCCAGAAAATCCTGAGAAAAAGCCTGAGCCAAGGCCACTGGCCCGTAGGAAGCCCTGGGCTTCCTCCTCTTCCTCAGCAGCCTCCGCATCTTCCCCTGGCACTTCTGCACCTTTCGGGAACATGTGCCACTGGAGGAATAGGAAGGCTTGCTGTCTGCTGGGTATGCCCAGGATGCTCCCATATGGAGTGCCTCTGCCCACCCCAGAGCAGGGTCCTCCCCTGGCAGGTGCCAGAGCACTCCCAGGCCACTTTCTACACTTCCTCCTCTCACCTCTGTCCCTTGGGAAAGCAGCTCTCAGGCCTGACCTTCCACCTCAGGCATCATTTGGGTTGGAAATAAAGATTCAGACCTTGTCTCTTAAGACTTTGGACAGCATGAATAAACCAATGCCTGCAGTTAGTCTTGATCTTCTCTTAAAGGTTAAACCATAGGAGATGGGACAAGACTGCAGCTTGAGAAGTCAAGTTAGCCATGAGGAGGAACAGTTTTTAAGCAAAAGAATGAGTAACCATTGTGAGTGACAGAGGGGAAGAGGAGGAATAAGTGGCCCAAGGGCACTAGGACATGATTCTGTAAGATTCTGAGTGCAAACAAGCGTCTCAGGGCTGCCTCGTACCCAGACTGTCAATAGATGTTGAGCGTGATCTATATGGGGAACTAACTCAAGCATGTTCTTTCTGAACATCACCCCAGCAGTGGGCTGATCCCTCTACCCTCCCCACCTGCTGGGCACCTGGCAAAGCCACAAGCACTGGCTGGTCTCCTTGGTTTGCTATTGGGTCAGGTCCATTCAGCCACTACCACCCAGCCCTTGAACTAGAAGCATACTGGCTTCCTCATCTCTGGGCTCCAGGGTTCAGCCAAGCCTGGCCCAATGTATATGTAGGTCAATGCTTATTGGGTCATGTGATAGAACCCCTAGCTAGACAAGGAGTGCATCAGAAAGAACCTTAGAGAGCATCTAGTGTGAGCTCCTAATTTTATGAAGGATGGCAATGAGGAAGCTCAGAGGTGAGATGACCTTGCCCAAGCCTTCCTGACCTTGCTCTCCCGCATTGCCTTGTATATAGCCAAGTGAATACCAGAAGGCTGTAGAGGCCTGAATGCCCAGCCCTGAACCCTTCAGCCAACTTGACACCACTGGGTCCCTCAGACACTCAATAGTATTCAGGTCAGTGGGCCTTCCCCTTTTCCTTGCCCATCCAGGTTTATTTCAGGCCCTTATTCTGTTTCTTCCTTGTTCCTGACTCTTGGCCCCATTCCATTTACCCTCCTACCCCTGCCTCAGCCCTCCAATTCATCATTCTTCCCTCTTCCCCCTCCTACATACCCACTTCTCTCTCTCTTTCTCTTTCTCTTCCTCTCTCTCTTTCTGTCTCTGTCTCTGTTCTCTCTCTCTCTCTCTCTCTCTCTCTCTCTCTCACACACACACACGACCCTTATCCTTTGTTGAGTCCTAGAGACCCAGCCCCCAGCCCCAGCTCTTACCCACTAGCCAGAACCTGGAAGGACCAAGAAGGACCCAGACATACATTCATTCAGCCAGTAGAGCCCAGTCACAAGCAATAGAACTTGTATGGCAGCAGTGTTATACAGGTTTATGATAATCACAAGTAGCCATGTAACAATGAGTCGCTGTTCCATAGCAACCAAACAATTACATAGCAGTGGACAAGCGCATGAAACCAAGAGACACGGTAACAAGCAAGAGAACGTGGTCATGGAGCAGTGAAGTGCAGTTGCATAGCAATAGACCTAAGTCATACAGTGTTCTCACACAGCCCTGTATTACAAGAAGGCACAACCATAGAACATAGCAATGAGCATAGAACACAAAGTGTAAGCCATAGACAGAGTCACAGAGCAATAGAAGATACCTGACTAGCACTAGGACACACCTGGTGGCAATGGGATGGTTACAAGGTGTGTGACTCCTGGATATGTGATCAGGGAGTAGTCACCAGCAGCGGAGGCTCAGGGTGTTGCAGCAGGCCCCAGTGACATGGCAGTGTAGTGAGCAAAGAATTAAACCACCTTTCTTGGTTTTGGCCACTCTGTTCGGGCTCTGAGCTTCTCAACATCACCTAATTCTCAGAGTGCTTTTGCCTATATCTAGTTTTGCAGCACACTCCCCAGAGTCCAAGAAATGATTTTGCCTCTGTTCGTCTCCAGAGCCTATTCTGTCTTAATGGTAAATTGGACATTTTCTGGAGAAATGAGCACCTTGAGAATGGAAAAGGGGGTGGAAGGGATGCAGATCTGTACCATCTCTCCAGGAAGGATGCCATGGATGTTCCCTGTTGCCCCAGGCTGGCCAGTCTCACCCCCACAGCCCCACCAAGCCCTCCCCTTAGTATGCCCTTAGATCCAACTACCTTCCCAGGTTGCAATCCAGGCAATTTTTCCTTCTCAGGCTCTCTTCATCCTGGATACTTGGTTTTGACACAGGTCTTTCAAGTGCCGTTTTGTCAATATGGTACAAAGCTCCCATCCTGAATGGACCACTGGGGTCAGGGTCCCACAGGTATAATCTTGAGTTAAGTGGTAGGGCTTATGCAGAGCTAGAGGAAGCCTTCACATTCCTTTTAAGCAGCCCAAGAAGTCTTTTGAAAGACGTAGGCTTTAAGTGGAGTGAAAAGTGAGATAGATGTTAAGAGTCATCCTGAGACATGACAGCTCTCCAAATCAACTCATAAGCATCCCCCTTCACATCAAAATCCCCACCTCCCCCTGCCGACCTCATGCTGAGCCAGGTAATATCATCCAAAACCAGGAAGAGCAGGTAAGAGGAGGGGCTCCATAGTATGTGCAGGCAGACCCGGTTCTATTACACGGGGCTTATAAAACACCTGCCAGGTGCCTGATTCCCCAGTCCCCAGCAGCTACATCAGCAATCTTCCAATCAGCCAGGAAAACAGAACTCCCACCCCTTCCAGGTGTTTCTAGCTGTGCAGATTAAGGACTAGGGGAAGAGGGAGTGACAAAGAAGGGAAGAGGCCAAGGTCCTGAGCTCTGGAAGTTCCCCAGCTAGCAGGAGTAAGCCATGCCCCAGGAGACAATAGTGAAACAGAGGGGAGCACAGTAAATGTTTGGTGAGGGATAAATAGTAAAAGGGCACGGCTGAGACAATGTATCTTCTTAAGTGTCATAGCTACCCAGCATTGTTGGGCACACCTGGTGAGCCCTCGGTAAAGAGAGGATCAAGGAAGGCTTCCTGGAGGAAGCAGGCTATGCTTTAGATAAACAGAGGCAGAGATACTCAGTAGCTATTCAAGAAGTGTGTGTTCAGTGTTGTCTCCAGTGCAGAAATTCCAGCACTGTATTTCCCCCTCCTCTCTCTCTCTCTCTCCCTGCTTTCCTCTGCTGCTCAGGGGAGATTTGTGGCAGACCAGAGAGCCCTCATACCGGTGGATAAATAATAGACAAGGGTTGTTTAAAAATTCAGTGGAGTTTCTTCAACCTCACCACACTAGAATAACTCATTTCTTTCATTCTCTCTTTGAAAGCCTTTCTCCCTCTCTCCATCTTGCTTTTGTTTCTCTTCCTTTCTTGAGTCTATAGGTCTCCAGGATTATCCCTTGATCCCTTGGTTTCTTTGTTTTCACTTCCCCAGCTGCCCCATCTCATTTAACCTGCTCCTAAGGGTGGTAAGGTGACTTCGGCAACTCTGGACACCATTTACCCAAGAAAGAGGGCTTCATTGCATGGGTTAGGAGAGGAAGGAGGGCCAGAGAAGCTGTGTCTCCTCTCAGGTCACACAGCAGGGGAGGTGGGGGCTGGGGCCACAGGAGGGCAGGCCTCCTAGACCAGGGGACCACTTCCCCCTGAGGTAGGTGGACAAATGCTGGCTCTGCCACACCTTCCCAGGGTGGCTTGGAGCATTTTGTGTCCTTGAACCTTGAATTTTCCATCTGCAACACGGGACGTTACAAGATGTTACCATGCCCTACTTGCCACTCGGCATCTGCCTGGCATGGCTCTATGGTGACCGACCATCCTTGTTTGCCCAGGACTGAGAAGTTTAGCAGTGCTAAAACCAAGACAGTTCCAGGTAAATTGGTATAGAGGTCACCCTATATGGCATGGGCTCTCTCACTGCCCCAGTCCTGCTTCATTCAAAGTTGCTGTACCCTTGGCCTCCTCAACACCCACAGCCACAAGGCATACACCCTCTGCCCAACAGCCCAGCTCCACACTGTCCCTTGCAATCAAAGCACTCTCACTAGCTCCTTGAAGTGACCTTGAACTCCCTTCTGCCCTGTGGACCCCCGTTTCTTCTTCTGTCAGCAGAGGAGGTTGGAGGAGGAGGTTGGAGCAAATGTTTCCCAGTCCCTTGG